CTCAACCTCCTGAGTAGCTGAGATTATAGGCATGTGCCACCATACCTGGCTAATTTTTGTATATTTAGTAGAGACAAGGTTTCATCATGTTGTCCAGGCTGATTTCAAACTGCTGACCTTGTGATCTGCCCACCTCAGCCTCCCAAAGTGCTGGGATTATAGGCGTGAGCCACCATGCCTGGCCTATCTTCTAGAATCTTTATGATTTCAGGTCTTAGATTTAAGTCTTTGATCCATCTTGAGTTGATTTTTGTATAAGGTGAGAGATGAGGATCTAGTTTCTTTCTTCTACATGTGACTTGACAATTATCCCAGCACCATTTCTTGAATAGAGTGTCCTTTCCTCACTTTATGTTTTTCTGTGTTTTGTTGAAGATCAGTTGACTGTAAGTATTTGGGTTTATTTCTGGGTTCTGTATTCTGTTTCATTGATCTACGTGCCTATTTTTATACCAGCACCATGCTGTTTTGGTAACTGTTACCTTATAGTATAGTTTGAAGTTGGGTAATGTGATACCTTCAGATTTGCTTTTTGCTTATTCTTGCTTTGGCTCTGTGGGCTCTTTTTTTGGTTCTATATGAAATTTAGGATTTTTTTCTAGCTCTGTGAAGAATGATGATGATATGTTGATGGGAATTGCATTGAATTTGTGGATTGATTTTGGCAGTATGCTCATTTCCACAATATTGATTCTACCCATCCATGAGCATAGGATGTGTTTCCATTTGTTTGTGTCATCTATGATTTCTTTCAGCAGTGTTTTGTAGTTTTCCTTAAAGAAGTCTTTCACATCCTTGGTTAGGCATATTCCTAAGTTTTTTTTTTTTTTTTTTTTTTGCAGCTATTGTGAAAGGGGTTGAATTCTTGATTTGATTCTCAGCTTAGCCGCTGTTGGTGTACAGCAGAGCTACTGATTTGTGTACACTAATTTTGTATCCTGAAACTTTGCTGAATTCATTTACCAGCTTAGGAGCTTTTGGGAGGAGTCTTTAGGGTTTTTTAGGTATACGATTATATTATCAGAAAACAGTGAGTGTTTGACTTCCTCTTTACTGATTTGGATGCCTTTATTTCTTTCTCTTGTCTGATTGCTCCGGCTAAGAATTCCAGTATTGTGTTGAATAGAAGTGGTGAGAGTGGGCATCCTTGTCTTGCTCCAGTTCTCATGGGGAATGCTTTCAACTTTTCCCCATTCACTATAATGTTGGCTATGGGTTTGTCATAGATGGTTTTTATTACCTTAAGGTATGTCCCTTCAATGCCAACTTTGCTGAGGGTTTTAATCATAAAGGGATGCTGGATTTTGTCAAATGCTTTTTCTGCATCTATTGAGATGATCATGTGATTTTTGCTTTTAATTTTGTTTATGTGGTGTATCATATTTATTGACTTACATATGTTAAACCATCCTTGCATCCTTGGTGTGAAACTCACTTGATCATGGTGACACACACTTTAAATAAGCAGACACAGACAAGTTGAAAGTAAATACATGAAAAGGATATACCATGGAAACATTAAGCATATGAAAATGGAAGTGGTTATATCAATATCTAAAAAGTAGATATCAAAAAAGAGTATTGCTAGAGATAAGAGGGGATGTTTTACAATGATAAAAAGCCAATTCCTCATAAAGACATAAAATACTAAATATATATACACCTAATAATAGAAATTTAAAACATTTGAAGCAAAAATTGACTATGGGAAGAAACTAAGGGGAGATCTAGGGAAAGAAACAGACAATTCCATTATCACAGATAGAGATTTTAATGCCCTTCTGTCACTAACTGATGCAGCAAGTAGACAAAAACAACCAATCAAAGAAATAAATCAACACACAAAAAACCCCAGTAAGGGCTTAGAAGATTTAAACAGCATTACTAAGCAACTTGATTTAATTTATATTTGTAGAACAATGCACTCAGCAATAGCATAATACACATTCTTTTGACATGTTCAAGATAGATGATAGACTGGGACATTTAAATCCATCCAAATAATATGGAGTATGTCCTCTGATCATGATGGAATTATATTAGAAATTGATAACAGCCGGGCGCGGTGGCTCAAGCCTGTAATCCCAGCACTTTGGGAGGCCGAGACGGGCGGATCACGAGGTCAGGAGATCAAGACCATCCTGGCTAACACGGTGAAACCCCGTCTCTACTAAAAATTACAAAAAACTAGCCGGGCGAGGTGGCGGGCGCCTGTAGTTCCAGCTACACAGGAGGCTGAGGCAGGAGAATGGCGTGAACCCAGGAGGCGGAGCTTGCAGTGAGCCAAGATCCGGCCACTGCACTCCAGCCCGGGCGACAGAGCGAGACTCCGTCTCAAAAAAAAAAAAAAAAAAGAAAACCCTATTTGGAATTTAGGCCATATATGTCCATATAATCCATGGGGCACAGAATAAATCACATGAGGAAAGAGAAAATAGTTTGAATTGACTGATAATAAAAACACAACATGCAAAATTGTTAGGACGCAGATGAAGAAACAGCCATAAAAGCAAGTAAGAAATTGGAATAGATTATATATCTGTTAAAGAAACTGAATTCATTATCAAATGCTTTCTCACAAAGAAAACTCCAAGCTCACACTATTTCATTAGTGAATTCTGCCAAACATTTAAGAACTAAGTAATACCAATTTTACACAAACACTTTCAGGAAATAGAGGAAGAGAGACTATTTTCCAGTGTATTTTAGGAGGCCAGCACAACCCTGATTCCACATCTGACGATTCCAAGGAAAGAAAATTACAGAACTATTACTCACAAATAGAGATGCAAAAATCTTTAACAAAATATTATAAGTTGAATAAAAAATATATAAAATGGATACTAACTCATGACAAAGTAGGGCTTACTTAGGTATGCAAGTTTAACATCTAAAAAATTAACCAGTATAACTCACTGCATTAACAGCACAAGGAGAACAATGACGTGATCATCTTAATAGTTCCAGAAAAAGCATTCAGCAGAATCCAAAACCCATTTATAAATTTTAAAAAATATCAGCATACTAGGAATGAAAGGGAACTTCCTTACTCTGATAAAGGGCATCTGTGAAAAGCCTACAGATAACATCATATTAAATAGTGAAACATCAAATTATTTCCCCACTTGCATTGGTGGAAGTATGGCCACCCTCACCACTTATATTTAACTTTGCTCTGTACTTAGTCTTATAAGTGAATTTGTCAAGGTCACAGGACTCAAAATAAACATACGAAATTGTATTTCACATGAAATTATATTTCTATAATAATGAACAACAAGAAAACGACATTAAAACAGTAATATAATTAATGGTATAAAAATCTAGAATTAACCTAATCAAAGATGTGCAAGAAACCTCTACATGGAAAACTACAAACGTGGCTGAGAGTAATAAAGACAAGGAGAGATATACCATATTCATGGATATAATATTCAATATATTTAAGATGTCCATTTCCACAAGTTGATCTATAAATTCTAAACAATTTTAATCAAAGTCCTAGCAGGCTATTTTGCAGGGGAGGGAAGAAGAAATTGACAAGATGATTCTAAAATGCATATGAGTATGCAAAGGATTTAGAACAGCCAAAACAATCTTGAAAAATAACAAGGTGGATGTGTGTACACTACTCAGTTTCAAGACTTACTAAAAAGCTATCATAATCAAGACTGTGGTTTTGGTGAAAGAAGGAATAGATTGACTTGCACAGATCAACAAATCCCACATATATGATCAATTTATTTTCAACAAGTTGCCAAATTTAATCAAGGACAAAAGGAGAGAGTTTTAAAAAGTGGTGCTGGAAAAACTGGGTATTAGTATGAAAAATAATGGACCTTAGTTCCTACATCATACCATACACTTGTGGTTCTCACACTTTAGTGTGCAGCAGAATTCCAAGGAGGGCTCATTAAAATCCCGATTTCTGGGCCCCGCCCACAGAGTTTCTGATTCAGCAAGTCTTGTGTGACTTGTGTGGACAATCTCAATGTCCAGCAACAGGTGGATGAATAAGCAAATGTGGTTTACTCATCCCAAGGACTATAACTATGCAGTTAAAAACAAAGGGCTTAGTGATACACTGAACAACATGTATGGGTCTCAAAGACATGATGTTGAGAGAGAGAAGCTGGACACAAAAGCGTCTGTACTGCACGGCTCCATTCATAAGGAACTCTAAAACAGGTGCATCCAGTCCGTGGTGCTGCACATCAGAGCAGAGGCCGCCTGGGTGGGAGCCAGGGGCTTTGGGCAATGGCTGAAGGCACGTGGGGGAACCTGCTGGGCTGACAAAAATGTTCTATGTCTTGATCCTGGTGGCGGCTACCCAGGTTTGTACAATGGTCAAAACTCTTTGACACTGTACACTGACTTATAAAATGTCAATAGAAAAAGAGGAAAAAGATGACCCCAGAAAAGGACAAGACAGAATCTGAAAACAGGAGGATTGAACTGTCCTGAATGTAACAGGGGCTGCGGAATCTGAGCCACAGGGGCTTGAACCAGTACGGGCAGGGTTTCTGCGTGGATGAACGAGGCAGGATTGGAAAAAACCGAGACTGTTCTTTTCTCCAGTGAGTTGAGATTCCTCAGCAAAAGATGGGGAAATTAGGAATGAATGCACGAAGGCACCAGTGCATACGCAATCGCAGAGTTCAGCTGTGTAGATGTGGACCAGGGAGAAACAAGACAGAGGAGGAAAGAGCAAAGCTCTCTAAGGGCCCAGCATGCAGAAGTCACTAGCCTCAGGCCTGGGCTTCCCTGCCAAGTGGCGGGATGGATATAGAGGCCAGGCCTGATGGAAATCTTCTTCTCTGCTTACCCTCGCCCTGCCCCCACCCCCACAGGGAGGCCAGCACTGGGCTTGATCCGTTACCCAGACAGAAAGAGCTGGTTTGGGTATCCTGAGCCTGCCTGACTCCCAGAAGTACCTTAGGCAGGACCTGCGACCCAGCCGTATCCCAGACGGCAGCAGCCCGCCCTGGAGACGTCCTCACCTGGCCCACCTGGTCCTGGAGCTGGGCCTTCTCTTGCCCCAGCAGGGCTGCCTGCCCCTCTAGCTGCTCCTGCTGCTGCTCCAGGCGCCCACAGGCCTGCTGCAGGCCCCTGCACTCTGCCCGCTCCAGCACCAGCTGCTGTTCCGCCTGTGCCAGCTGCTCCCTGGCCCGGACCTGCTCCTGTTCCAGAGTCTTCTGCTGCTCCCGCAGCTGGTCCCGCTCCTGCTCCAGCTGCCACCAGGTGTCAGGGGCTCTGCATCCACTCCCCGCACCCTCAGTCCCTGTAGGCCAGCCACTCCCGAGGCCTGCCCCAGGGGCACTGTCTTCCCTCCCTCAGACCTGGCCAGGGCCAGTCAGGCTCCCTTGTCCCCAAAACCTTGGACCAGGAGAGGAAGTGATCTGGGAGAATGGAAGGAAGACCCAGGGCTGGGAGACCCACAGCCACCTGGGAACCAGGTTCCGACGAGGCCCGCCCCGCTGGCCCTTGTCTCACCTGCAGGGTCAGGTGGTTCAGGTCACTTTTGTCCTGAGCCAGCGCCTCCATCAAGGCGGCCATTGCAGCCAGCGAGTCCCTCTGCTCCACTCCCTCTGACTTCAGCCGCCTCACAAGAAGCTCCAGGTCCGCATTGCTGCACTCGGCCTGGGGCAGGGAGGGGGATGCCAGGGAGGGACCTTTAGCTTCCAGGGCAGGGCTGTTGCCGGTGGGAAAGGAGTGAGCCCGGAGCTGGGGAGGTGTGCAAGCCAGAACTCCTGGGCGGACATGGTGGGAAGGTCGCCACAGTGGGGAGGTCTCAGGACCAAGGGTGGCTCCAGACACTGAGGCTCCAGCCAGAGGAGGTGGCTGGTGGGCCAGGGAGAAGCCACGAAGAAGCAGACGTGGCCAGCAGGGTTGAGAGCAGCTGGGCCAGCCTGGTGCCTACTGGTTGGGGACGGGAAAGGTCTTTGGTGACTTTGGGAGCTCTGGTGACGGGCTGAAGGTCCCGGCAGGCAGGAGAGAGGGAGTGGGAGGCCAGGTGAGTGAGGCTGGGGTGGGTGGGGGCAGACGGGAGGCGGGGTGGGGTTGGGGGGAGCAGAGGCGTACCCGCGCCAGGGCGCTGCGCAAGCCCTCCCTCTCGCTCTCCACGACATCCCGCTGCAGCTGTGCTGTGCTCAGTGCCTCCCGGGCTGATGCCAGCTCCTCTCTGAGCCCAGAGACCTTCTCCTCCAGCTGCTGCAGGCGGCCTTGACTGAGGCCCCAGACCAGAGGGCGGGAGGTCCCTCAGGGTGAGCAGTGGCTGCCCCATGGGATTTCAGGCAGGCGGTTGCCTGCAACTCCCTCCAAGCCCAGGGAGGCCCAGGAGGAGCATGGAGCCCCTGAAGGACCAGGAAGGCAGGGAGCCCTTCGCTTCCGGGCTTCGTTTCTGGGTCAGGGGAGGCACAGGTGCCTCCAAGGGGACAGGAGGGGTGGGGCCCCACATCTGCTGGGCCCAGAGGGTGGTGGATGTGCACCCAGGTGGGGCACTGGGCCAGAGGGAGTGAGGATTGGTCTGGAGGATGGTGCAGCCTGGGGAGGAGCCTGGAGAGCCCCCGCCCCTGCCCTGTCAGGGCCGCCACCACACCCTGAGATGAGACAGGTAAAGAAGCAGACCCGGCCGGGCGCGGTGGCTCAAGCCTGTAATCCCAGCACTTTGGGAGGCCGAGATGGGCGGATCACGAGGTCAGGAGATCGAGACCATCCTGGCTGACACGGTGAAACCCCGTCTCTACTAAAAAATACAAAAACTTAGCTGGGCGAGGTGGCAGGCGCCTGTAGTCCCAGCTACTCGGGAGGCTGAGGCAGGAGAATGGTGTAAACTCGGGAGGTGGAGCTTGCAGTGAGCTGAGATCCAGCCACTGCACTCCAGCCTGGGCGACAGAGCGAGACTCCGTCTCAAAAAAAAAAAAAAAAAAAAGAAGCAGACCCGTGGCCCAAGGCCAAGTGGCTGATGGTGGCAGAGCGGGGTCTCTCCTGTGGGAGGGGCCCTGTCCACCCAGCCACCGCGGCGCACCTGGTCTCCAGTGCCCTGCAGCTCCGCTCCCTCTGCAGAGCCAGCTCCTCCCTCCGCTCTGCCTGCAGCAGGAGGCTTCTCTGTAGCTCCGTGGCCTCGGCCTCCAGCCCCTGCTTCTCCACATCTGCAGCGTCTGCCTTCCCTTTCAGCTCCTCCACCACCATCTCCAGAGCAGCCTTCTCCCTGGGGTTGGAAGGGCCAGAGTTGGGGCAGCCCTGGACACATTCAAGGTGCACCATGTGCCTTGGTGGGCAGTTGGGGCTGGGTGGATGCCAGCCTGTGAGACTGCATGGGCAGAGGGATCCCGAGAAGCACACAGGGTCTCACTGGCGGGTGTGGCCCACCCCGGCCCATGCTCAACTTGTGCTCACAGAACTCTGCTGGAAGGAAAGGACCCCTCCCTGGCTGGCATCCCCTCCAGCTCTAGAGGTGCTTGTCCTGACAGCAGCCCTGGGCCCTCAGGATCCCCCACTCCCTGTGCAAGGCCGCACAACCCCTTCACCCCATTACCTCCCCAGGAGCTTGCAGGACGCCCGGCACTGCTGCACCTCAAGCCTCTGGGCCTCCAGCTGGCCCCGAAGGGCCTCTCGTTCCCGTGCCTGCTCCCGAGCCCGCTCCTGCTGGAGCTTCTGTGCAGCCCACAGCTCCTGCCAGCACTCGGACAGCTGCTCCCGGAGCCCGGCTGCCACTGCCTGGGAGGACTCCAGCTGCAGGCACAGCTCCTGCTCGGGTGGGACGCGGTGTGGGTCCCTCTGATCTAGGCAAGCTTTGCCCACTGAGGCCCACCAGGGCTTGAGACTCCCCAAAAGGAACCCCCACACACTGGAGCCCCTCCCTGGGGCCATGGGGCACCATAACTACCCTTCAACCTGAGGGACTCATGTTTCTGCCCTTAGGGAGACAGGGGGTCCTGCAGGCTGCGGCTGCCCACCTGTTCCCGCCGCCGCCGCCTCTCGATGGCTGCCTGCACAGCCTGCAGTACAGGGTCCAGGGTGGCCGGGGAGTGGGTATGTGGTGGGGACGCCCCTTGATGGGGGGATGTGGCACGTTGGGGGCTCCTCAATGGGTGCCGTGGCTCCCCCAGTTCAGTGATGCTGCTCCATGACAGCTCCAGGCACTGGGCGTCCTCCTGGGCCACCTTCAAGGTGCAGAGAGGAAGGGAGAGAGGGGCCCAGAGCACAGGGCCATGATTTGATGGGGACCGTGCAGACAGTCCTGAGGGTCCCTGTGGGCCACCTCCATCTTCGCCACTGGGAGGACAGGTGAAGGGCCGCACCTTCCTGATGCGCCTCAGAGTGCACTGCAGGGACTCCACCTTGCCCTACAGGCTGTCTGCCGCCCCCCCGGGCCACCACTGCACCAGGCTTCCTGTGGCAGACAGACCCCCACCACACAGCCACTCCCGTCCCGCCCACCAACCAGGTTCTGCAGGTCGGTTCTGAGGGCAGCGATGGTCCTCGCCTTCTGCTCATTCTGCTCTGTGAGCTTCTCCACCAGCAACGTTTGCTCCGAGAGTCTGGGAGGAGTTGGGGATGGGGGGAGGGTGAAGGGCAGGGCCCAGAGGATGGGCACCCAAGCATGCCCTGGCTCTGCCCAGACTCCTCTGTGCAGTGGCCCCCCTGCCGGTGCTGGGTAATGCCTCTGTGTGAGTGGCCTCCGTCCCTGGTCTGAGCATGCGTCTCTCCTGCCACAGAGCCTCCAGTGGCTCCCACGGTCTCAGAAGTCAAGGCCCACACCCTGACCAGCTCTCTGGCCTCAGATGCAGTGACTACCCGAGGCTCTGCCCCGTCCTTATGGCACAACAGAGGGAGTGCCCACTGCAGGCCTTTGTCCGGCCAGTCCTTCTGCCTGGAGCACCTGTCACCATCAGTCTGACAATAAGTGATTTTACTGTTCCTTCCTTCCCAGGACCCACCTTCTTACTAAAGACCCCAGGTCCCCCAGGTCGCCCTGGTGTGCGGCCCCTGCAGCCCTTGGGCCCCCATGTCCTGTCCTGCTCGTCTGGGGCTAGGTTGTGGTGTGTTTGACTCAGCTAGACCCCCTGAGGGTAGGGAGGGCCTCTGCCTGTCAGCCTGGCAGGGTGTTTGTGGCCAAGTGGGCCCCGGACCCCCGGTTGTGAGGCGTCGGCCCCACGGCCAGCAGGTTAGACCTCCACTGGGGAGCCACCTCCCCACTTCCTGCTGAAGTTGCCCTCAAGAGACCTCTGAGCCCCCGATGTGGGTGGTGGGTCCGAAACCTTCCACAGTCACGGGGAGATCGCAGACCCCAGAGAGGGTGTGGGTGTCCTTCACGTGGGGCAGGAGGAGGCCTGGTCCCTCTTCCTGCCTCCATTTTTAAACAATTTACCTAAGGTGAGCTCTTCCCCTGGAACAACGTGCCCTGCTTTAAGTCCTGAAAACTCCAATTCCGGGTGCTGACCCCCAGGACACAAACCCAGTGAGTTCCCTGCTGTGCTCCCCGAAACCCCCACTGTAGGAGACCCCAGTGCCTGCCTCCTGGGCATTAGGGGAGTGCCCTGCAGCCACTGGGATGGTGATTCTGAAGAGTGTGCACCACCAGTGACGCCAGGGCCCCACCTCCCCTGGTACGGTGTGACCACATCTGGGATCCACAGCTGCTGGGCAGGCTGGATGGGCCCCACCCCTCCGGGCCCTCCCTGTGCCAGCCTGCTGACCCTGGGCACCCACCTGGCCTGGAGCGCCACCTTCTCTGTGTCCCAGCGGACCTGCAGCTGCAGCATCTCCCCAACCTTGTCCCGAAGCTGCTGCCCCAGGGTGCTGGCCGTGCTGCTGGCCGACAGTCGCAGGTTGGAGTCGAGGTTCAGGCAGGCAGTGTGCAGGCGGCGGGCTGTCTTGGCCGTGTCTGCCTGCAGGTCAGCGAGGCCCCTGGGAGACAAGGGCAGCACCTGTGGCTGACTCAGGACCCATCTGCAGAGGGAGGGCCTGGTCCCATCAGTCCCACAGAGGACCCCCTCCTTGGCCATCCTCAGGAGAAGCCCCCGCTGCATGGCATTGATGGTTCCCATGTGTCACCAAATGCCAGGAAGCAGCTGGGGAGGAGTGAGCAGGGGCGGGGCCAGACTGCAGCAGCCTTCACTGAGTCATCGACCCTCTGAGCCCCTGACTCTTCCTGTGCAAGGAGCTGCTACCTACGTAAGGGCTGGCAGGGTGGTACCAGGACTGACCTCCAGTGTGGCACCCAGCAAGGCTGGACAGACCACGGAAGCTCCATCTGGATAGGTGTCCCCCACCCCACAATGTCCTGTCCACCCTCCTCTCATGTCTCCTTGGTGTCCCCCACCCACCTCCCTGGCCTGTTTGTCCCTCTCCCTGACTGCCCTCCTCGGCCACCCTCATCACTGCTCCCACTGTCCAGCCTGAGGCCCAGCCAGGGCTGGTTGAGGAGCCGGCAGGCCAGGGCTATTGCACCCACGGAAGGGCCCGCCCCAGGCACCACTTCCCCTCTCCCGGAGCGGGCCTCAGCTCCCTGCAGCCTGGTGCCTGGCTCCAGGTGGGGCAGCCGGCACTCACCTCTCAGTGGCTGCTCGCAGCTCTGCCAGGTCTGTCCCCAGCACCACGGCCTGTCTCCACAGGAGAAGGAGGTCCCGGGGCTTCCCCAGGCCCCCTGGCCGGGTCTGAAAGCAAGAGGCCTCCTGTCCACTCCAGGCTGGGGCGCCTTTACCCTCCCTGAAGCCCATTCTTTTCCAGGTGCCATGTCCCTCTCCATGGGGGCTGGAAGTGGACCCAGCATCCCAAAGTCCCCATATCTCACAGGCAAAGGAGCCATGGGCTCCCCCAACCCCACCCTGGGGCCATACTCTGCCTCTCCGTAGGAGATGACCTGGGGATATGACTACATTCAGCCCTTCCAGGCCAGCCTGCGTGCATGGAGGTGGAAGGGTGGGGTTCGTCGGTCCCTGAAGAGAGAAGGTGCTGACTCAGTCTCAGCTCCCCAGCTACTCTCAGGAACTGCTCAGGCTCAGAACACTCCAGAACCAGGCCCGGTCCCCTGCTGGGGCATGGGGCAGACAATTAGGCGGCACGTGGCTCCTACCCTCCCACTCTGAGGGAAGAGGACGGGCCTCCTTTCTCCAGTACAGTCTTTCTCCTTACTCTGGAGGCTCCTGAAGATGTCCAGGTGTTGGTCTGGCACTTCAAAGGTGCCAGGGACACAGAAGCAAATTAGAAGCCTCAGGACTGGGGCCACGGTTCAGCAGGGAGGAGGGTGGGGAAGCCACTGACGTTAGAAGCTTCTAGCACTGGGGTTCAGCAGGGAGGAGGGTGGGGAAGCCACTGACGTTAGAAGCTTCTAGCACTGGGGTTCAGCAGGGAGGAGGGTGGGGAAGCCACTGACGTTAGAAGCTTCTAGCACTGGGGTTCAGCAGGGAGGAGGGTGGGGAAGCCACTGACATTAGAAGCCTCTAGCACTGGGGCCCAAGGTTCAGCAGGGAGGAGGGTGGGAAGTCACTGCTGAGACAAGGCCAGTGATTAGGCTGCAACGGAGCCGAGTGGGAGGACTCTGTGTTGGGGGCAGGAATGGGGGAACTGTGTGTGTTCAGTGCTTCCAGCCTTGCAAGGAGCTAAGATGAAAGCCAGGAGTCTCAGAGTCTCCACACCACCTTCTAGGCCCTGCACTCGCCTTCTCCTGCTCGCCAACCTCTGGAACTCAGGGGGCTACTGTGTTCCTACCACCTCTCCCTGCCTGTGACAACCCCACCCCTGCTCCTCCAGGTTGCCTTCAGGTAGAGCACTCACATCCTGCCTGTTCTCCAGAACTCGCACAGAGGACTATGACCAGAAACCAGTGGAAACAATAGAACGAGACCTTGAAGAACTTCAGGTATTAGATCATCATCTCATCTTCATGAAGCTTGCCTGAACCCCTCACCTGATCCCACACCTGAGGTTCCCCCCAGCTGAGCCCATAACACCTGGCCATACACCCTCCAGAGAACACGTCCCTCTGTGCCCATTCCACCTGGCTATATACCCTCCAAAGAACACGTCCCTCTGTGCCCATTCCACCTGGCCATACACCCTCCAGAGGGCATGCCCCTCTGTGCCCATTACACTTGACCATGCACCCTCTGGAGGGCATGACTCTCTGAACCCACACCTGGCCATACACCCTCTGGAGGGGACACCCCTCTTTAGTTAGAAAATAAAAAATCACCGAAGGCACAAGGAAACAAAGGACCATGATCAGAAACCAGCAGAAACAACAGAACCAGACCTTAAAGAATTTCAGATATTAGATAGTCAGACACAGGCTACAAAAAGACTATTCTTAACATGCTCCAATAAATAAATAAGAGGCTTGAAAATGTGAGTTAAGAAGCCAGGCGAGGTGGCTCTCGCCTGTAATCCCAGCATTTTGGGAGGCTGAGGCGGGCGGATCACCTGAGGTCAGGAGTTTGAGACCAGCCTGGTCAACACAGTGAAACCCCATCTCTACTGAAAATACAAAAATTATCTAGGTGCGGTGGCACACACCTGTAATCCCAACTACTCTGGAGGCTGAGGCGGGAGAATCGTTTGAACCCGGGAGGCAGAGGTTGCAGTGAGCTGAGATCTTGCCACTGCACTCCAGCCTGGGTGACAGAGCAAGACTCTGTCTCAAAGAGGAAAAAAAGAAAATGTGAGTTAAGAGTAAGCTATTTAATATATAGGAAAGAATGAAACAGAACTCTTAGTGATGAAAAATACCGTATTTGCAATTTAAGCTAAGTAGCCAAATTTAACAGAGATTAGACATCAGAAGAGAAAACTGATAGACAGAAATGGAAATTTGAAGAAATTATCTAGAATATAGTCCAGGGTAATAAAAGGAACAAAACCGTGAACGGTGCCTGGGAGACAGCGTAAGAATGGCTAACACGTCTAGCCAGAGCTCAGAGGAGGGGAGGTGGGTGGTGAGCATCGGCAATGTTTAAGAATATTGACTTTCCAAAAACAACAAGCGACGCAGAGGCTCCACGAGCCCTGAAGTGGGATAAACAAATAAATCTACATGCAGACACAACACAGGGACGTGGCACAACCACCAAGTCAGAGCAGGGATCTTAAGAGCAGCCAGGTGAGAGGACACGTTACCTTGATAGGGAGCCAGTCAGAATCCAGGCAGCCTGGAAGCTGACTTCTCAACGGCAGCAGCGGAAGGAGAAGGAGAAAGCAGATCTTTAACGTGCCGAGAGAAAGCAGCTGTCAACCAACCTTGAGTTTCCCTCAAGGACAAAGGGAAAATAAAGACCTGGGTGATCAAATGCCAAACTGAACTCAGGGACCCTCTCCTTCCGGCATGTGTTCTCACACAGCGGAATCAGCTCCTGTGTTCATCAGATGACCTGCCCCGAGGTCTGAGGACCAGGACGGGGACCAGGCAGTGAGGGGAACAGGAGATCTGCTCAAATGCCTCGAGCCAGCAGGCCTAGCGTAGGCGAGGACTCCTTGCTGATAGCACGGTCCTGCTGGTGCTCTGCAGAGGCTGGCATTCCCTCTCAGGGGGTAAACCTCGGCTGGTGTGTCTGACATCTGCCTTTTAGGAGAAGCAGCTGCGGGAGGCTCGGGGCTGGGACCTGGCCCCCGTGGGGGTGAGTGCGGCCCTTCTCGGACAGGCTTGTCTGAGGGAAGTCTGTAGAGGCAGCCTGAGGCCAGAACTGCGGCTGCCCCTCCGGCTCCTGCCTCCACCTGGCACAGCACATCTTCGGGGGGGCCCCTCTTCCTGGGGAAATCCTTGCCCATGGTGCCCGTAGCATGCAGGGGCTGGGCGTCCAGGCCCCCTTTGCTGGAGGGCTGTTGGGAACACCTTCAGGCCCTCAGGGACTGCCTGAATGGAGAGCCACGTTACCCAAGGCTACAGCAGCTTCAGGGGGTCCCACGACCATGGAGAGATCTGAGCAAGGCATGAACACCCGGATGTCTCCCTCCCACAGGGGCTGGTGCCTGCAACCCTGTGCCCTGACCCCCTGCGTGCCTCAGGGTTTCAGAAGTTGGAGTGGGTAAGGCTGCAGGGCGACCTGGGGGGCCACGGCCAGGCGCCACGAGCAGCGGGCCAGCCCCAGGCTCCTTCCAGGGTTCCCCCTCCTGAAGTCTGGCCCGGAGTTCAGCCTATGGAGAAAACCTGCCTCTCCAAACAGGGTGGTCCACACCAGAGCCGGGATGTGGCCCCAGTGCCCCATTCTCAGAGCCCTGCCCTCCTTCTCTGGGTGGGGGGCAGTGGGGGTGGACCAGGGAGTCCCTCACTCCACAGACTGCTGTGGTCAAGCCAGGCTGGGGACATGGTGTCGCAAGAAACTGTGGCCTTGTCCCCAAGAGGGATAGCTGCTGAGCCAGCACACCCTCACCAGGTCCCTGCCTGCTACCCAGGCATAGGCACCCAGACAGGCAGCTGCGGGGTGGGCAAGGGTTGGGGGAGCACCTGTCTCTGGGCCCAGCGCCTCAGCTCCAGCTCGCCCTGCAGGCGCTGCACGCTGCCCGTCGTCCCAGCCAGCTCCCGGGCCAGCGCGTCGTTGGCCTTCTTCATGTGCTCCAGCTGCTCCCGCAGGAGCGCGTTCACCTGGCAGAGGCCAGTGCTCCTGGACAGAGAACCCCCAGGGAGTGGCTGGGATAGGCAGCCTCTCCTAAGAGGCGCTCAGAATCCCCAAGTCAAGGGGCTTGAATGGAGCCCCAAACCCTCTGGCCCAACTGACCCCGGCTCAGGTGCACAGCCCCTGCTCTGCCCCTGCCTGCCATGGGCCCCACCAGCCCCTGCTCTGCCCCTGCCTGCCATGGGCCCCACCAGATCCTGCTCTGCCCCCACCTGCCATGGGCCCCACAAGGGACCCCTAGACTGAGTGCCAGCATCAAGGTGGCTCTCCCAGGTGCCAGCCCAGTGCCCTCCCGCCTTCCTGCGACATCTGCCCTCTGTCCTCCCCCAAGTCCCTGCCCCGAGCTCTCCTGGCTCTGCCTCTACAAACTTGGCCCGCCCCTCAATGCCTGAGACAAGGTGCCAGGGGATGGGAGGGAGGTGCCCTTCGCGGGGCTGGGTGACCCAGAGAGGGAGTTGGACATGCCCGGGGTGGGGGACGGCCTCTGCTGCACCCTGGGGCCTTCCCCGCCATGAGTAGGTCCACACTTGCAGCAGTAGGGGTGCAAGTCTGCCAGGTGGGTGGACTTCAGGAGCCGGCACCCCCGCCAGGCTGCCGTGGTTCACTCACTGCTCCTCTCTGCCCACCAGACTAAGCCTCCTCTTGGGTTATTTTTCTTCCCCCTCAAAACCAGTTTTCAAAAGTTTCTCAGCCCTTTGATTCCTTTTCCAGATTCCTGGAGGATGAACCAAATGTGGCAATATTCTACAAACAACTTAACCTGCCCAGGTCTGGGAGACTGGTGGGCCTGGGTTAGCGTGGGGGCTGGGTTAGTGAGGGGGCTGGGTTAGTGTGGGGGCTGGGTTGGCGTGGGGGCTGGGTTAGTGCGGGCAGGGTGGGGGCCGGGCAGAGGCGCCCTCAATAAGCCCAGGCATGACCTCGTCTCAGGGTGTGAGAGTGGGTGATCCACACCCGGGACTCAGGTGTGGCTCGTGACCTGGGTCTGTTGCCAGGGTCCTAATGTCAGCGCTCACTGACGGTGGGGGTGGGGGCTCTCTCCCTCTCTGCCTGTTATTCACCCCTCCCTGTTATTCATGAGCCAGGCTGACCCGTGGCAGGGAGGATGGCAGAGCGTGGAGAGGCTGCCATGTGGAAGGCTGGCACCAGCCCTGTCCCCCACGGTGAGCAGCCCTTGCCCCTGGGATGTGGAGCCAGGGAGGGGTCTGGTAGCGATGGGTAGAGTCGTGATGCTGCTACTATAATAGGATTGCTGCTGAGCCGCTCTCGGAGGCCGGGACGGCGGTGCCTGGTCGCCTGGTCGCATGAGAGGCCCGCGCTGAGCCCGGGAGGCTGAGCGCTTCACTGTTTCCACTGGGCCTGGACTCTCCCCACGGCAAGAGGGAGTGCCCTGAGGCCCCCACACTGCCCAGCCACTCAAGTCCCCGCGCCCAGCTGCGCCTTCTCCAGCCCCTGCCCTGCTGTGGAGGCCTGGGCTGACTCCCAGGGAAACTGAACTCACAGCTGCTTTGGGAAGAGCTGTCGGTAGCCCCCAAGGTACAGAGGGGCCCACTGCTTCTCGGGGGGAAGGCTGTGCTTCTGGAGCCCTGGCTGCCCCCCGCCTGGCCTCACCTCTCCTCAGCAACCTCCAGACGGCCAAGGGCCTCCTCCAGATCCACGCTGTGCTCCAGCTCCGACCTCCGCAGCTGAGCCTCAGTGGTCTCCAACCGGGCCTGCAGCTGGGGAACAGCAATGGCCCACCTGGTCTGGCTGCTCCTGAACCCGCTGGGCAGGGGCTGGGGCATCTTGGGCACAAAGCCGACCTTGGTGGGGAAGAAAGGGCTCCCTGGGGCCCCACAGCAGGGGCTGGGGTTGGGTCTGGTGAGGCGCAGGCCCTTTCACACAATGAACCTGACAGGCAGCCTCCTGCCCTGTGCCAAGTGCCCGTAGCTGGCAGAGGAGGGGAGGGGCAGGGGCACGCTGGGTTGCACTGATGTGCTGATGCCATCAGGTCTTGAGGATAGCGTGAGTATGGTGGCCTAGTGGGGGCACGGCTCTGGGGACCACTGGAGCATGCCCACATTTCATTTACAGATGGGTAAACTGAGGCCCCACTGCCCCAGCTACCCGGGCAGCCCAGCTGTCAGGGCAGGGGCAGGGGTTTCAGGGCTTGCTTCAGGCACACAGGGGCCGGATGGAAGGTCACTGGGCTGTCTCTGGGGCTGCCCCCTGGAGAGTGAGTGAGTGAGTGATTGTGGTTCCCTCCACCTGGGCCTCCTGCCTGAGTCCTGCACCTCACCTACAGGGTGCAGGACCACACCCACCATGATGTGGGCCCACTGCCCAGGGCCACTCCGCTGTCACTGGGCCAAGACTGAACTTAGGTCCAGGAAATCAAGGGACAAGGATGGCCCAGGTAGAAGGGTGGAGGGGAAGGCAGCAGGCCTGGTGCCTCAGCTGTGGCTGTGCCAGGGCTGAACGTATGGGAGAGCCGAGGGGCCCCTCCTCAGCCAGCAGCCGGAAGAGAAGGGGGCGTTGGAAGACCCTGGAGGAGCCGGGTGGGGTCTGGGGGTGCCACCCCAGGATGGAGATGCCACGGTCAGGCACTCTGGCCACCCAGACCCCGTTCCCCCTGTCTTGGGGGTAACTTGGAGTGAGGCCCAGCCTCCTGGCACCCACACTTGGGGGTAACTTGGAGTGAGACCCAGCCTCCTGGCACCCACACTTGGGGGTTAACTTGGAGTGAGACCCAGCCTCCTGGCACCCACACTTGGGGGTAACTTGGAGTGAGGCCCAGCCTCCTGGCACCCACACTTTGCCTGCTGAGCCACTCGGGAGCTGGCGTGCACTGGGCTGCTGGCGCGTTCGGATCTGACTCATGCGGCTTACTAATCTGTCGGCAGCATTTCTGCGGCTTCTATTCCCAGCGGCCTGTTCCCAACATCTCCCCACCCTGTGCTAGGAAGATGTCTCCCCCAAGGCCTCCCCACAGCTGTAGGGGCTCCCAGGAAGAGCTGGCAGCTCACACACGCGCTGGGGCCCCCATCAGGTGGGGTGGACCCCAGGTCCTGCCCTCAGGGGCTCCCCTCCCAGGGGTGCCAGCAACAATGGAAACGTGTTTCCCGTGTGGGGGTCAGGGCGTGATAGAACTGGGTGGGGAGCAGAGAGCGGGCCCCTAGGAGAGCTGAGGGCATCCCTATGGGGCTGGTGCTGTCGCTGGTCCTGGGAAGGATCCTTCCAGAAGGCGAGGCCCACTGGGGACACCACTGGTCCCCGATACTGGCCACTGGTCACGTGTCTAAGAAGGGACCAGATCTGGTTCAGGGGTTCAGGTCTCAGCCCCAGTAATGGCGGTGTGTCCTGCGTGATCACTGGCTGGCTCTGAGCCTTGACTCCCTTATCTGGAAAGTGGGGTCATCTGACCTGCCATGCGGAACCGTGGGGGCTCTGAAGACGGCATGGGTGCGGCAGGGGCCCCAAGTCCCCCACAAGGTGGGCTGGACACCCCACTCCACGCACTGGCTCCTTACCAAGTCCTGCCTCAGAAGCCAGCATGCCTTGGAGAGCCGACACAGGAGAGAGGCTCTGGCCTAGCAGGTTTCTTGACTTTCTGCCTCGGTTTTCCTGGCTACACAATGGGAGGCCCTCCCCAGCTCCACATTTTGTGACTAAATATGCCTCTCGCCCTCCTCACACATCACCCTGGAAGGCACCGCAGCCACCAGGGGACCAAAGATACAGCCCTGTCTGGCCCCTTCCCTGTCTTCTGAGGTCCAAGCGGTCCCAGTCAGCCTCAGTTGTCAGGAAAGGGTCACGAGGCTAGGGTGGAGCCATTTCTCTGTGAGCTTCGTCTGGGGGTGGGATCGGTGCCCGCTGGCCTGCTGTCCTCTGCCGTGCAGGTGCCCGCTTTGTGCTGATGCTGGGCTGAGCACTGGGCTCTGTGGGTCAGGACTGGCCAGGCCACCGCACAGGGCTCCCGGGCAGGTACAGGGACAAGTCAGTGCCTAAGCTGGGTTGCGAGACCTAGGGGACATGCTATAGGCATCAGGGAATGGCCTGGGCATGTGCTGCTTGGCCTCCCACCTCTCGCCTGTTATCCCACCGGTTGCCTCAGTTTCCTCATCTGTTGCCCAGGGTTTGAATGTCGGGTGGCTGACACTCTGTCTTTCCCAGTCTTAGAAATTGCCAATAGTCCCAGGTTCTGACTGCAGGCCCGACAAAGTGACCCCTCACCAAGGGCCAGGCTGCCCCCTCCCGCCTGTCCTGAGTCTGCTGCACACACTCACCTGCTCACTGACCACACGGCACCTGCTGGCCAGCTCATCTCGCTCGGCGCCGGCCTGGGCCAGCAGGTCCCCCAGCCGGGTCAGCTCCTCCTGCAGGAGCTCGTTCTCCTCTTGCACGCGGGCCGTGGTGGCTGTCGGCTCCCGTACCCCTGCTGCACGGTACCTGGTTCAGCCTGGGTGGCCAGACCAGGGCCCACCCGCACTCAGCCTTGTGCCCTCTCTCCATGGTGGGACCCTGGGCTGGCCACCGGTCTCCAGCTGCTGGACCTGCTCGCATCTCCTGGGAGGGGCCCCAGCTCTGAGCCAGGGACCCTGACGTAGGGAGGCCGACTTCACACTCTGAGCCAGGGACCCTGATGTAGGGAGGCCGACTTCACACTCTGAGCCCCGCTTCCTCTCATGTTAATTGGAATCCTACCACCTCAGAGTACCTGGAACCCCAGTGCAGACCCAGGCCCGGGCCGAGCCCTAACCCAATGGCAGCAGAGTACGTGGGCGGCCTGAACGCGGGGCACTCGCCCTGTCTGTGAAGCTGCGAGCCCTGCTGCTTCTCGGGGAAGGGACCTGGTCCCCGAGTAATAAGGTGCTTTTGTAAATACACACACAGCCAGTTCCCCGGGCCTGCCGGAGGCCGGACAGATCCTGGGAAAGAGGGATCCCTGGGACCCACGCGCGAAGTCCTGGGCACACACTGAACAGGCAGCCTGGAGCTGGTTCCTCAGCCGCCAGGTGGACAATTGGAGGCAGCACAGGGGCCTGGGGCGGGTGCAGGAAGGGCAGAGCTCGGGGGGTGGGCGTCTGTGCTCCCTGAGTGCCCGTGTCTAGCATTTCCACGCTGAGGAAGAAACCAACACCAATGAAGCAGAGACTCAGGTGGACACAAGGGTGCCACACAGAGGCAGCCCTGCCCAGGCCCTGCTCAGTGCCCTGTGGGTATTGATGTGATGCCCTTGAGGGTGGCCGTGTGGGGGGTGGGGCCAGCCCCGGGCCCAGGACTGTCCCCCATGCCGTCACCTTGGGGTGGCTCCTCACTCAGGCTGCTGGCCACGATCTCACGGATGTGGGCGGGCACGGGGGTGGGTGAGGCCCGCCGGCCTTCCCCACGCACGGTCAGTGCCCGGTCTTCCCTGCTGGCCGTGGGACTCAGTATGGTGTCCTCCAGTCTCTGAAAGACACCCCCAGAGATATCTGGAGATGGCAGCCCCCAGCAGCTGCCAGGCACCCCCCTACAATCCCGCTGAATGGGAGCTACCACAGGGCCACCCCAAGGCAGCGGAGTGCCCTGGAGAGGACAGGTGAGGCTGGGCAGGTCACTCAGGTGCATGCCTTGGTTCTCCACCTGTGGAGTGGGGCTGCGCCTGTCCCCAGGTTCTGGAAGGAGGACCACACCCAGCCGAGGTAGCAGGTACTGCACTTGGGGCTCTGCCCTGTCTCGGTGGGGGCTGGGCTGAGCGCTGGCTAAGCGGTCACCGGTCCCCTAGGGGATGCTGACAGGCAGGTGCCTTTGCCTCTGCTCCACAAGAAACCCACCATCCTCGCCCACCTGGAGCAGGTGGTCTCACAGCTTGTTTGCACGGTGGGGCCAGAGGAGGGACCTAGATCTCACACAGCAGTCACAGAGCCCAGCGTGTGTGTGTGGCGTGGGGTGGGGGCTGAGGACGGGTCAGAGGGCTGAGGCTGAACCCATCCTTCTCTGCTCAGCTGCCCGCTGCCCCTCCGCAGGCTCGGTCCATCGGGAGGGTGGGCAGGCCTGGGGCTGCATGCTTGAGGCTCTGAGGATGAGCAGAGCCCGTGGAGCCCTCTCCTCCCACGGCCATGAATTCTGAGCAGAGTCAGGGACTCCCACCCTCCGGCTGCCCTCAGAGGGCTGCATGGGCCGGGGCAGTGAGGGTAGCGAGGACAGCGAGGACAGCGAGGACAGCCTTCCTTCCCAGGTGGGTCCTTCATGAAAGCCGACTGCCAGGGAAGAGACTCCAATAGGCCCAGAAGTGGGCAGGAAGGCCCAGGACCTGAGCTCACACTCGGGAGGTGTTTGCTGAGTGGCTGCCCTGCTGCCCCAGGAGCCCCTGGGTGTCCTGGGTATCCCAGCCTGGTTTTGAGGGTCTTGGGCCCTAATGGCATTTTGCTGGGCAAGGGCACAGCTTGGGGAGGGCCGAGGCACCAGGGCAGGGGACTCCTGCCAGGTGGAATAGATTACTGACTGTGGGCAGGACACACAGGGCCCTGTGAACACGGAAGTTGACTGTGCCAAATCAGCAGAAGCCCAGGCAGGATCCCGCAGGAATACACAAGGCCACAGCTGTCCCCTGGCCTGCTGCCTTAAGGATATCTAAATTTCAGGCAGTGAATTAACTACTAAAGGGTGACCGGATGCTTGCCAGGGGAAGCTGGGAGGGGATGTCCACTCCTAGGGGCTCTCCAGCACCACACTCCAGAGTCTGCCCAAGTCCTGGTTGCCTGGCTCCCACGTCAGCACGGAGGACCCTCTCCCTGGGGTCCGCAGAGCTGCTCCCCCACCTTGTGCCTCCTGGATCTTCCTCCTGCCCAGGGTCCTTGTGGGTGACCACCTGGCCGCCTCCTGCCTCCCATCTTCTCTTGGCCCTCCCTGAGACCCTGCTTGCGTCCCCGGATTCTGACCTCAGGCCTAGGCTGGTGGCTGTGCCCTGCTCCCCAACCCCGGCCCTCCTCCTGACCCCAGCCAGGCCTTCTGCACCTGGTGTGTGCTGTCCCGGCTGTCTCGGATGCTTCCTGGACACAGGCCTCATCCTCCATCTGCACCCCAAAGATCTCAGCCCCCCTCACCAGGGTTGGAGAGTCACCACAGACCCAGGCTCAGCATGGCGCCTGGAGAGGCCCTATTCTGACCCTGCTGCCCTGTGAAGGTCAGCCACTCAGCAAATGCCTCCCAGGGTGAGCCCAGGTCCGGGGCCAGCCAGCCCTCCTCCGGACAGCTCCAGAGTCTGCATCTCAGTCCCCTGGGAGGTCTTGGGAGGCGTCTTCACTGCCGGTTTCCCTGCCCTGCAGGTTCCCCCGCTGCCTCTTCTTCTGGAGGGAGTAACGGCCCCCCTTGGGAGCAGCAGCCCAGTGGGGCAGGGGGAGGGACGTCCCTGCTCCTCCTCCTGGGCCCAGCTGGGACGCAGGTGCCAAGACCACCAACCAGGAGGAGAGCTGCCGGAAGGGCTCCGCTATTCTGTTCTAAACCCCTTATTTTGTACCGCGGAGAATGGAGGCCCAGCAGGGTGGCAAGAGGCACCCCAGGCTCCTTGATCAGAGACCGTCAGGCCACGCTCAACCCCCCAGGCCGGGAAGGGCTCCGCCGCGCCCTCCCTCCGCCTGCTCAGCAGCTCCCGCCCTGCGCTCCCCCGGGCATCAGCGGCGCCACCCGCTAACGGGAAGGCAGCAGCGTGGCGTAAACTTGACTCATTCCTAACATTTACAGAGGGTCACTTATTAGCGGGACGTCCCGAGAGGCGCTGGGGCCTAATGGGTTCCATCTGTGGACGGGTGCCTGCAATGGGCCGCGGCCCAGCTGGAGCCAGAGGGGGGCGCGGGGAGCGCGGGGGGTGCAGGGGGCGTTCAGGGGGGCGGAGGACGCAGGGGGCGTGGAGGGGGCGCGGGGGGTGCAGGGGGAGCGCAGAGGGGGGCGCGAGGGACGCAGGAGGCGTTCAGGGGGGCACGGGGGGTAGGGGACGCAGAAGGGGGCAAGGGGAACAGAGGGGGCCAGCAGGGGGTCGTGGGGGGACGCAGAGGGGGCGCAGGGGGCGTGACTTTGGAGTGTGAGGGCAGCGCCGCCCCCACAGAACCACCGGAGGAGAGAGGGGCTGAGGGAAGGAGCAAGCAGGAGAGGCAGGAATGGGAGGGGAGGAGAGGGGAGGGGAGGGAAGGTGGGGGTCGGCGTGTCCGGAGGCCTGTGCCGCCAACCTAAGCGATTGGGACCCACCCGAAGCTGCCTCCTTCCCCGTGGCTCCAGGGTGGTCCTCAGGGTCTGCACCGCTCACTCCCGAGGCCCCTCCCCGGGGCTCCGCGCTGCCACCTGCGCCAGCGGGTCCGGGCAGGGCATTCCCTCCGCGGCCTGTGGGTCCTTCTGGGCCTGCCCATTTCCTGCCCGGGGCCTCTGAGGGGTGGGCCCAGGCTGTGGCCCAGGTTGGGTTGGGGGCTTCTATTCTAGAAGGCCTGGCTGTGGGAGGGAACCCCAGGTTCCAGACTCACAGTTGAGCCCGGTGTATCTTCCTCCTGCCCCCAGCACCCTCTTCAGCTCAACCTGCATTAAAGACCCCAGGGAGGTCACAGCCCCTGCGTGGAGCCACCCTAGGGGCAGCTGGCCTGCTCAACCCGATCCTGGCCCTGAAGGGGGTGGCCCAGCAGGGAGAGCCAGCGGGTCCTCACCACCGCACCACCTCATTTGGCTGTGTGGAGAGGGACAGCCGAACCTTGGGGGAAATGTGGGCTCCCCATATCTCTGCCTCCCCAGGGTCAGAGCAGGGCTCCCCTCTAAGAGAGCTGGACTGGGTTCCTTGCTATGCCACCAATAAACAGAGACCCTGGGTGTGTTACCCCCCACCTCATGTCCCCATCTGTGAAATGGGAGCATTGGCAATCCAGGCCCTCCTGGGTCCCAGGGCCGGGGGCTGGGGCTCTGTGAGGGTGCAGTGAATGGACCACGTGTGGCCTCGGCTGCCTGCCCCCAGCTGGCCACCAGCTCCTGGGAAATGCTGGAATCTTGCCTGGAGGCAAATGACCTCCACCCTCTGATGGATTCAGAACCCTCCTGTGGATCCAGGGCTCCACCTGCACTTTGGCACTTGCTGGGGACCGGGGGTTTCAGGGCCGCTGCCAGGGCCTCTCCTCTTATATTCCTTCCCCATTCCGGGGTCTTGGCCAAGATCCCGGAATGGGGGGCCGGGAGGTCGCTTTATCATACTCTATGCTGCAGATGGGGAAACTGAGGCCAGGGACACGACACCAGCTCTCCACTGGGGTGGGGTGGAGCCAGAATGCACCTGCCAGCCTGTGCTGCCTACAATAGGCTTCTACCTGCAGGGAGGGTGCAGGGACTCTAGGCCTGCACCGAACAACCCAAGTCTTGTTTATCTGGAGGCCACACTCTTGCACTGATTCTCATCCCTGTACCTGGGGCATGACCTTGGAGATGCTGTCAGGGGTCAGAAGCCCCGGAGAGAAATCCCCAAACCCTCGTCAAAGCCACCTGAAGCAGGGACGGTCAGGGGCCTGCTGAAGCTCAGACCCAAGGGGCACTGGCCCCACCAGCCCTCAGCAACCTCAGCACCCCTGTTGTCCCATCCTGCCTGGACAGTTGCCTGAGCTGGGGGCAGGACCGAGGCAGGGAGGGGGAGCATGTCCACTGGGACCCCCGCCCACCCACCAGCAGGCACCTCGGTCAGCCTGGGTCACCCTCATTGAGGGGGTGGAGGGTGGACCCCCGAGTGAGGGTTGAGATGGAGGCAGCTCCCAGCCAGAGGGTGGAGGGTGCCTTCCCCAAGCTCCAACAGTGCCCCTGTGTGGCCGCGAGGAGCGCTGCAGGGGGCTGCCAGGTCCTGCTCTTGCAGAAGGGAGGCTGGGCCTGGGGGTTTGGACAGCATCAAGGACCAGTGCTCAGTGGAAAATGAAAGATGTGTGTCCACGAGAGTGAAGGCGCGTGCCAGCATCAGCCCGCAGGGTTCTCCGCGCTCTCCACTTGCAAACGTTTTCACGTCCATTGTCCTGACCTGCATTGGAGGCTTCTGGCCTCCGCCTTAATGGGTGAGGAGGGTGAGGCTTGGCACCTCTGAGACTTGCTCAAGGGCACCTGCTCAGCAGCAGCGTTAGGACTGGGACTCTGGCCTTGGGCCCCCACTCGCGCACAAGGGTGGTCACTGATGAGCCTTCCCAGTGGCGGCGTCTGGACTTGGCTCCACTGCAGGTCTCCTCCCCTGTGTGCCCGCTCCCCAGCCTGGGCAAAGGGCAGGGAACCACGCAGCTTCTGGGCCGGGCAGCAGCCTCTTTCCTCCTGTCTCTGAGCCCAGCCGTGCTGTGGCTGCTGCCTTTCCCTCCCGGTCCCTCCATGGCCCTCCCAGCAGCCCCAGGCGGGGTAGTCTGGCCTTGCCAGGAGCAGGCACAGCATGCAGAACACATCTGAGGACAGGGCCTCCGGCCAAGTCCAGCCAC